CCCCCCCCCCCCCCCCGAGTGCTGGGATTAAAGGCGTGCGCCACCACACCCGGCAACTTTTTTATTTTTAATTTTTTTAATTTTTAATTTTTTTTTATGTGCATGCGTGTATTGCCGGCATGTAGGTAAGTGTACCTATGCAGTGCAATGCCTGGGGAGGTCAGAAGAGGCTGTCGGATCCCCTAGGACTGGAGTCACAGACAGCCTTAGGTGCCATGTGGGAGCTGGGATTCGAACCCGGGTCTTCTGCAAGAACAACCAGTGTTCTTAACCGCTGAGCCACCTCTCTAGCCCCCCCTCGAGAACTATTTTAATGACAAAAAAGTTTCTTCCTTGATATAAAGAGACACACAGATCTTAATTTCTAGAACTAGTGAAGTTCTCTAATCTGAAGTTGGGTGTTTCTAGTGTTCAGTTCATTCAATCTACCTGTAGCTTTCTCAACACAGTGTTGTTTGAGGCAGGGTCTCACTTTGTAGGTCAGGCTATTCTGCAGCATACCATGTAGCTTAGGCTGGCCTCAAACCTGTAGCCATCTGCTGTCATGAGCCACCCCTGTCCAGCTTCAGACCCAGCCTTGTAAGGTGACTATGGTACAATGCTAAAGAAAACAAGAGGGCTGGTGAGACGGCTCATGGGGTAAAGGCATCGCCACCAAACCTGAGAGGTGGCATTTGTCCCCTGGTCCCACATTGGTGGAAGGAGAGAACATACTGTCACACACAAGTTGTCCCCTGATACACACATGCGTGCACAAACACACACACACACACACAAAATGTAAAAAAAAAGAAAAATTATGGAATAGTCCCTTAAAATTAATGGCTTGGTTTTGTTATAGATCCCGCCAGCACCACCAAGACCTGATTTTGATGCTTCACGGGAAAAGCTACAGAAGCTTGGAGGAGGGGAAGGATCGATGACAAAGGAGGAATCCACAAAGATGAAATAGGAGCTGGAAGCGTATATGATGGTTTTGTTGTGCTTTTGTTAATTGTGCTTGTTTTAATGGCTTTTGGGCGGGGGGACTCTCTGGTGTCCCATTATTTTAGTCATTTCACCATGGTGACTCTGAAAGATCCAGGTTTATTTAAGTCATATCAGCTAGCATTAATGATGATGATCAGAGCCTAGAGGAAAATTAGAGTTGTCTCCATTGTCAGATTCTTTAAATTAATTTAAATAAATTCTGAAATCTAAAAGCTTATAAAAAAAAACAGTGGGAAGAGAACATGACTTTTAAAAGCAGAATATAAATTTCAAAAATTGTTTTTAAGGCCTCAGTTATTACCAACCTAATTCTCTTTCTCAATATGTACCTCCTCTAAAACTTCCAGTTTGTGTAGGGAGAGTGTGCTGAGCAACTTTTTGCATGTTTTCTTTAAAACAAAATACTGAAAAAAAAAAACAAAAAACCAAAAACCTGGCATGGTGGCACATACCTGTAATCCTAGCATTGGGAGGTATAGACAGGAAGATCAGCAACTCAAGTTCAGCCTGGGCTACATGAGACCCTATCTCAAAAATAAAATATAAAAGTGCTTGGATATATAATTTCCTTTACTCTGCCAGCTGCTTCTGACTTAAAGGAAAAGAATAGGGGCAAACTAATGAGAATAGTTAAGAAATTTTTTATTATTAAATGACTATTCATGGGACATGGAAGAGATGGCTCAAAAGTTAAGAGCACTTGCTGCTCTTATAGAGGACCAGAGATTCGGTACCTAGACCCACATTAGATAGCTTACAACTGCCTGTAACTCCAGCTGTAGGGAATCTGACACCTTCTTCTGGCCTCCACTGGCACTCTCATGCACTCACACATACACAAAAATTAATAAAATGCTATTAGTTTCATATACACTCAGAACATATCAAATCCTTGAAAAAATATGGAATTTTAATATTTGCTGAAAATAGTTCCCCCCCTTTTAAACTAAACTTTCAAACTTTGTATTTTCAATACGTTATTTTATTTTATTTTTTTTTTAGCAAGGAAACTTTATTCCAAAGCAAAGGGAAAAATACAGATCAGAGTTACACTGTTGAGTAATAGTGAGGGTAGAGGTGGTGAGATGGCCCAGTAGTAAAGCACTTTCCAAGCAAGCCTGCTTGAGTTCAAACCCTGGAATCCACCTAAAGATGGAAGGAGAGAACCGACTCCATAAAGCTATCTTCTGACCACCACATGCATGCCATGACAGACATGCACAGTGAAAAAAGAAAACAATGCCAGCGGGCCATGTGAGTGGGAGCACTCAAGGGCCTTACCAGTATTTTGAGAGTTGTCCAGGGAAGGATTTTTCCTGTATTACTGTCACTCCCATTTCTCTTTTTCTGGCCATTTTTCCCTTTCATGCATTTCCTTTACTTTTCTGCTTAGTTTGTTTTCAAGCAAATCTTCACACTGCTGCTAGATGCCTTCTGAATTCTAAGTACATACTTTTGCTGAAAAATAAGTAAGCTGAGTGTGATGACGCACACTTTTAGTCCTAACACTCCAGGGGTAGAGACTGGTAGATCTCTGTGAGTTTGAAGCTAACCTAGTCTACATAGTGAGTTCCAGGCCAGTTGGGGCTACACAGTAAGACCCTATCTCAAAATAAAAAGATTATTAAGCAAAGTAGGTCTTTGTCAAAGTGTAACATGACGGCTGTTGTAGGCCGGGCAACAAAAAAGAAAAATTTATTTTTGAGATAGTGTCTCCTTGTAGTCCCAGCTGGCTACTTAGACCAGGCTGACCTCTACCTCACAGAGATCCACCTGCCTCTGTCTCCTAATGGCTAGGATTAAAGGTACATACCACCACACCCAGCCCATCCCATACATTTCTCATGGTTAAAGGAAGTCCTGAATTAAGTTTTTAGTTGTCACTTTTCTATATAGCAGTGTTTGACCAAGTCAGGTGAGAGGACTACTTGGAACAGTTCAGGTAAGCTTGGAAAACATGACTTCTGCAGGCCTTCATAGACCATCTGAATCTTCCAGAGTGACACCTGAGTATTTTACCAAACTCCTCTTTTATTTACTTGTAAAATTAAAAAGAAAAAAAAAAATTTTATCCCCACCTGGCCCAGAAATCACTATGTAGACCAGGCCGGCCTTGAACACACAGAGATCCGCCTGCCTCTACCTCCCGAGTGCTGGGATTAGGTCTTTTTGAGACAGGGTCTCCCAGTAGTCCCAGCTGTCCTGGAACTTGCTATGTAGACCAGGCTGGCTTTGAACTCATAGACAACCCCCAGCCTCTGCCTCCTGAGTGCTGGGATTAAAGGCGTTCCCTACCATGCCCCGCTTTAAAAGGAAATTTTTAGAGGATTTTTTTTTTTAAGATGGTCTCAGGTAACTCAGGTTGGCCTGGAACTTGCCTTATAGTTGAGGATGACATAGAATTCCTTCCTGATCCTTCTGCCTTCCCCTCCCAAGTGCCACTAATAGCTCCAGGATTGGTGGTGCATGCCTTTAATCACAGCACTTGGGAGGCTGAAGCAGGCAGACTCTGAGTTCAAGGGTAGCCTGATCTGGTCTACATAAGGACTTCCAGGCCAACCAGGGCTATGAGACCCTGTCTCAAAAAAACAAACAACAACAAAAACCTACTAATATACCCGACACTTATGAACACTTTAAGTTTAGAAACTGGGATCCTTTTGAGATTTCCATTTAATGTCTAAGAATAAGAGAGACTACTGGTGTAACCTCCAAAAATGCTCACTTAGATTGTCTTTCTTTCAGTTGAGTGTGTGAGGGAAAAAGAAAAAAGAAAAACTTGAAGATTTTTTTAAAAAACATGGTTAAATCAGCAGATGGAGTAATTGTTTCAGGAGGAAAGGTAAGATTTATACTTATGTACAGCATTATTGGTTGAGAATGAGAATATACTTTGGGTATTTTTGAACCATGGTTTTACTTCGTAGCACTGAGTGGCCTGGTATTCACAGAGATCCACCTGCCTCTGGCTTCTGAGTGCTGGGATTTAAGACTTATACCATCACACCTGATGAGAGAGACTACACCTTAAGAACAAAAACAGAGTCTTCCCATAGCCCCAGCTAGCTTGGAACTTGCTATGTGGACCAGACTGATCTTGATCTCAGAGATCTGTCTGCCTTTGCCTCCTGGATGCTGGGATTGAGGGTGTGGATGCACTCCTGAGGACTCGGCTGCTTCTCCTTAGATGCTGCTATGCAGAGATAGTAAGTGTAAACCACTATCAGGACTTTGGTAATCTAAGAACATTTCTGAACATGTAAGATGTATTGAATTCTAGCACATTTATTCAGTCTTCATTATAACCCTGCAAGTTAGATTTATTTATTCCCATTTTTTTTGTCTTTTTGAGACAGGGTTTTCATGTAGCCCTAGCTGTCCTGGAACTTGCCATGTAGACCAGGCTGGCCTTGAACTCACAAAGGTCCTCGTGCCTCTGCCTCCCAAGTGCTGGGATTAAAGGTGTGCACCACCACGCCCTGCTTATTCTCATTTTTACACAAAGAAAACTGGTACATGGGAAGTGATGGTTAAATCATTTTGTTAATGTGGACTCTTGCTTTCAGTCTTCAAATTACATCATGTCAATGACACTTCGAATGAATGGTTGCTAGAAAGCACTGTTAGAAATTTTTATTTTAAATGTGTATCTAGCCTTATTTCAAGGAAAATATCAAAGATTGTATATGTCACTGCTCCCAAATAGCTTATTTGGCTGAGTTCATATAAGCATTTAGATAGACCAGGCCACCTCCAATGACCCACGAAATGCATACTATTAGACCAAGAAAAATAGGTTTTCACTTCTAGATACCAGAATTTTTATTTATTTTTGCTCTTTTTGAGACAGGGTCTCTCGACAGCCTCAGCTGTCCTGGAACTCACTGTGTAGAGCAGGCTGGCCTTGTACTCACAGAGATCTGCCTGCCTCTGACTCCACAGTGCTGGCTGGGATTAAAGGCGTGTGTCACCACACCACATCAAAAGCAATTGATTACTAGGGAGCAATAACATGTTTGTAGCAGCAGAGGGCAGGCAGGTCCATGTTTCAGGATGAATTACATGAGGCTTTCTGGGTCCTCGCTGTAAAACTATAGGTTTCTTTCTTGGTACGTAGAAAGAAATGAGTCTTTTAAAAGTCTCAGCATGTGGATGAGGTCAGCATAAGACCTGATTTTTACAGGATTGCTGTGCTGTTTTCCTGATGATGTTTTTCTGTTTATAATGATGACACATTAGGTTAAAGCAAGCAAGTGAAAAGAGCTCATGCATTCTTCTCATCCTGCAGGATGTAGATGATTCCTTTGAACACGAACGGACCCTCCTTTTAGAATATCATAACCGAGTTAAGGATGCATCTGCTAAATCTGACAGGATGACAAGATCTCACAAAAGTAAGACTCTTCTGCGGCTAAAACTTACTTTTTTAATTGAGTAATTGTAAAGTTGACATGTTCCTTACAGTTTATTAAAGTCTGAACATAGAACAACATTTAAAAATTTTAACCCAGTGTGGTAACCGACACCTTTAATCCTAGCACTCAAGAGGCAGAGGCAGGCAGATCTCTGTGAGTTCCAGGCTAGCTGGGACTACAAGGAGACCCTGTCTCGAAAAGACCAAAACAAACAAACATACATTTAAATTTTTTATTAGAATGAGTGCATTAGTTTTCTGTTGCTGTGATGGAAACCATGACCAAGGGAACTTATAAAAAGTATTTAGCTTACAGTTCCTGGGGAATTACAGTCCTTCATGGGGAGAGGAGGGGGCAGGAACAGAAGAGGTGTTATAGGTATATGCCATTATACCAAGTATTTTTGTTTTTGTTTTTGTTTGAGACAGTCTCACTATTTAGCCTTGGCTGGTCTCAGACTTATATAGATCTGCCTGCCTCTGCCTCCCAAGTTCTGAGATTAAAGTCATGCACCAAGCCCAGCCCTATTTTTTTAAAAGACTTATTTTATCTATATGAATGTTTTGCCTGCATGTACATAGGTGTACCACATGCAATTCCTGTGGGGACAAGAAGAGGGCATTAGATCAAAGAACTGGAGTTACAGACAATTGTTAGCTGTCATGTGGGAATCAAAGCCAGATCCTGTGTAAGAGTAGCAAGTATTCTTAACTGCTGAGCTATCTGACAAGCTTCCATACCTAGTGTTTATGTGGTGAAAACCTAGGGCTCTATGCATACTAAACAAGCACTCTACCAACTGAGCTATAATCCTACCCCTTTCCCCCAAGTGAGTGAGTTGGTCCTTGAATTTGTGATCCTTCTGCCTCAGCAGCCCCAAGACCCTTTTAAAAGTGAGTCTGAGTGCTGAGCACGGTGGTGCATGTCTTTTTTCCAGCACTTGGGAGGCAGAGGCAGGAGGATCTCAGTGAGCTCAAGACCAGCCTGGCCTATATACTGAGTGTCAGGCCAGTTGGGGCTACAGGGAGACCCTGTCTCCAAAGGACCAAAAAAAAAAAAAAAAAAAAAAAAAAGCTAGTCTGTGCTGGTTTTGTTAGTGTATACTTGTAATCCCGTTGTTTGGGGCCAGTCTGGGCTATATAACAATAAGAAGACATAAAAAATGTTTTTAAGTGGTTGACAAGATGACTCGGTGAATAAAGGTGCTTGCTATGTAAGCCTGTTGACCTCAGTTCAAATCCCAGAATTCACATAAAGATGGAAGGAGAGAACCAACTCTAGAGTTATCCTCTGACCACCACACTTATGCTGTGGCATGTGTGTGTCCATACACACACTATGTACACACACCACAATAGCAATAAGGTTTAAGTAAATTTTTAAAAAAAATTGTTTTAGGGTCTGGTGAGATGGCTCAGCGGTTAAGAGCACTGACTGCTCTTGCAGAGGACCCGGGTTCGATTCCCAGCACCCACATAGCAGCTATGAACCATCTTTAACTCCAGTTCCAGGGGAATCCGAAGCCCTCTTCTGACCTCTGTGGCACTGCATGACACGGGTGCACTCACATACATGTAGGCAGTACACTCATACACATAAAATAAAAATAATAAATAAAATATTTTTTAAAAGCTTTTTTGTTTTGTTTTTTTGTTTTGAAGCAAGGCCTCTCTGTAGCCCCAGCTGGCCTAGAAATTGGTATGTAAACCGGGCTGGCCTCCAACAGAGATCCACCTGCCTCCTCCTGAGTCCTGGGATTAAGGTATGCACCAGCACACCCAGCAAATAATGTTTTTTAAGGAGGAAGAAGGAAAGAAGGAAAAGAAGAGACAGGAAGGGAACGAACTGAAGAAAGTGATTCCTGTCCATTTGGCCAAATGGATGAGAGGATGGTGCTGCCAGCTGCGGTGGTGCACACCTTTAATCCAGCATCTGTCTGAGTTCGAGGCCAGCCTGGCCAACAGAGTGAGTTCCAGACCAACCAGGGCTACACAGTAAGACCCTGTCTTTTAAGAAAAAAGACAATGGTGAGCCTATATTAATAAATGGTAATCACAAAGTAAAATGAGACGGGGAATGGTTGCATGCTTACAGTCCCAGCACTAAGGAGACAGAGGGTTATGAGTTCAAGGTCAGCTTGAGCTTTGGGTTACCTTCCAAATTTTAGAATTATTGGTATACCACCACACCTAGTTTATTCTGAATTTATTTATAGAACTGTCAGGGGCCTGGGGAGATGGCTCAGTGGTTAAGAGCACTTGCTGCTCTTGCAGTGGACCCATGTTTGGTATCCGGCACCCACATGATGGCTAACAACCATCCACTAACAACTCCATTTCCAAGAGGTCCAGGATCTGACTCCCTCTTCTGGCCTCTTCTGGCATTGCATGCACTGGTGCACTCACATAGGTAAAAATAAAAAATAGACGAGTAAATAAATAAATGTTGGGGCTGGAGAGATGCTTTAGTGGTTAAGAGCACTAACTATTCTTGCAGAGGTTCGAGTCCCAGCATCCACATGACAGCTAACAACCATTGGTAACTCCAGTTCAAGGGACTCTGGTGCTCTCTTCTGACTTCCACAGACATTGCATGACACAAATCTGTTTACATGCATGCAGACAATGCACTTATAAGATAAAGGAAAAATAATAAAAATTTAAAATAAATAAATAAATGTTTAACATCTATTCCCACAAATCCAAACTCTGCCATAGTTTGCAAGACCTTTTCGCCTAAAATGCTTCCAGTTTGTCCATTTCCAAGCCCCTTGTTTCCAGCAGTCCCACAGTGCTCTCTGAATGTGTGCCTTTCTTTGATGCCTTTGACCTTTCCCCATGTCAATATTTCCCCTTAGTCAATATTCTCTCCCTTTGCCATCATGTTGCATTACGGCTGTTTAGGTCATTTCCTTTAGTGGATATTTTGTATTACATTTTGCACATAGGTTCTCCGTAAGTGTTTTTAAATCAGCAAATGAATATATTCTTAAAACTTGTTTTTAAATTCCTCAGATTTTCTCTGTAGGTGGTGGGGATGATTACAATAGAATTGGGTCTTCACTGTATGCTTTAGGACCTCAGGACTCTACAGATGTATGCAAGTAAGGATTGTAATTACAGATATTAACAGCAGTAAAGCAGAGAAACGGCTTTGTTGGCAGTAAGGAAACAGCACTGGTCATCTAGATGGGCATTTCGGAATGCTTTTGCCAAGCCACTTATGATAAATGTTCATGAATTAGTGTTGATACCTTTTTTACAATGTGGAATACTACACAAATGTGCTATTATTTCATTGGACATCAAAGTAAACTCTTTTATAAACACCTTGCTTCTTTCCCCCACCCACAGCTCCCACCCCTCCCCCAGAACTGGAGACCAAGCACAAAGCCAAGGGCTTACTAAGCAAGGTAGCACCCTACCACTGAGCTAAATCCCCAGTGTTGCCCCCCCTTTTCCTGTGGGGTAAACTTGTTTTGTTGGGTCTCCCTGTAGCCCCAGCTAGTCTGGAACTTGTTATGTAGACCAGGCTGACCTCGATCTCACAGAGATCCTTCTGCTATCTCCTGATGCTGAGATTAAAGGCATGCACCACCATCCCTTTTTTGTCACATGGTCACATGGAACCCAGTCAGGCCTCAAACTTACTAGTCACCAAGGATAATCCTCCTGCCTCTGCTTCCCCAGTTCTGAGATTGCAAGTGTGCCTGGCACTCAAATTGAGTTTGCAATTTTATTTACTTAATTAATTAATTTATTTATTGGTCTTTTTAAGAGAGGGTCTCCCTGTAGCCCCAGCTGGCCTGAAACTCCCATGTAGACCAGGCTGGCCTTGAACTCACAGAGATCTGCTTGTCTCTGCCTCCTAAGTGCTGGGATTAAAGGCATGAGCCACCACTCCTGGAAAATGCTCTTTTAATATATGACTTAGACTGTCATGAGATCATTGAAATGGAATGAGTTCTGTAACAGATTTTACATAAGCACTTTATAATCAGAGGTGCAGGGAGATTTTTGTTATACTAGTTAAGTCTTCAGTTAGCAAGATCATTCAATTTTATGTAATGAAACAAGAATGTTCTTTATTAATATGCTTTGGGGCATTTTCCCTAAACAGTTAAAGTGGGAGATTATTCAAATGCTGCTTCTGATAAAAAAATGTTCTTTTACAGATGTTTCCTCAAAGTTTCAGAACTGTTTGATAAAACAAGAGTAAGTATTAATTCTAGAGCTCTGTTACATAGAATTGCACTAATAGTACTGTGTTGTATACATAAGAAAAATGAGGCAGAAGAGATGGCAGAGCCTCTGACGTCCACATATGTACTGGGGCTGGTACTCCCATCCCCTGAAGCAAATGTAAAAACAATGTAAAAAAAAAAGTATCAAATGCCAGGTGTGGTGGCCCACACCTATAATCCCATAATCCCAGCATTTAGGGATTCAAGGTTAGGCAAGAGGATTGTTTGCTTTAAGACCATCTTGAACTATATAGCATGACCCTATCTCAAAAAAACAAAACAAAAAAAACCCCCAAAAACCAAAAAAACCAGGGCCTGTGAGATGGCTCAGTGAAAAGGTACTTGCTGTCAGGCCTGGTAACCATAGTTCAATCCCCAGAACCCACATGGTGGGAGGAGAAAACCCACTCCCCAAAGCTGTTGACCTGCACACAAGCATCGTGCATAGATACCCACAAACACACACATATATACAAGCATGCACAAAATAAAGCATAAATGTAGAAAAATATTCTAGGGTTGAAGAGATGATTCAGCAGTTAGGAGCAATTCCTGCTCTTCCAGAGGACCCTAGTTCTGTTCCCCAGCATCTAGGTTTGGCAGTTCACAACCACCTACAACTCCAGCTCTCAGGAATTCAGTGCCCTCACCTGACCTCCATAGGTACCCATGCTCATGTGGCATACATATGCAGAAACATATATACCTACGCATAATTAAAAATAGAATAAATCTAAGCTGGGTGTGGTGGCACACACCTTTAATCCCAGCATTGGGGAGGCAGAGGCAGGCAGATCTCTGTGAGTTCAAGGCCAGCCTGGTCTATGTAGTAAGATCCAGCCCAGCTGGGGCTACAGGGAGACCCTGTCTCAAAAAGAGCCCTCAAAATTTAATTAATTAATTAAAAAGCAGAATAAGTCTTTTTTCTTTATTTTTTTGTTTTTGTTTTGTTATAAGAAAAAAACTATAATTTAAAAAATATTTTACTTATTATTTTTGTTTTGTGTGTATGAGCGTATTATGTGCATGTAGGTAAGTGCACCCGCCTCGTGCAATGCCTACGGAGGACGGATGAGGCTGTCGGATCCCCTGGGACTGGAGTTACAGACAGCTGTTAGCTGCCATGTGGATGTTGGGATTTGAACCCGGGTCTTCTGCAAGAACAGCCAGTGTTCTTAACCGCTGAGTCATCTCTCCAGACCCAGGAAAAACTATTCTTTAAAAGATCCACCTGCCTCTGCCTCAGGAGGGCTGAGATTAAAGGTGTCCAGCACCACACCCCACTTTTTTTTCCATTTTGGGTGGTATCACAAAGGAGAACAGCTTTTTAACGGGAAGGAAGAGGAAGGGCAGAGGAGTACAAAATGGAATGGGTTCTGAGTTGTGGCTTCAGTACGGCTACATTATAAAAAAACAGCATTTCTCTCTGTGTGTGCCGGCGCAGTCGCACACAGGCCACGGTTGGTGTGTGGAGGTCAGAAGACAGCTTTCAGGAGTTGGTTCTCGCCTTTTAAGCACTGTGGGTTCTGGGAACCAAATTCAAGTCGTAAACTTGGCAGCAAAGTGCAGTTACCCGCTGAGCCAGCTTACCATCCCTCTACACATTGTTAAGAAAATTGCTCAGAGCAGAATGCGATTGCTGATTTAATGCCCAGTTTTTCCCATTTTCAGAAAATAGAAGCAGGAGTGTCTGCTGATGAGGACCTCAAACTGTCTGACCTTTTAAAGTACTACTTAAGAGAGTCTCAAGCCGCCAAGGTAACCACTCATTTCTTTTATCGTTTTGTTTTTAAATATTTTTATTAGTTTGAGTTATGTGTATGTGTGTCTGTGTGGGTTGTGCACATGAACGCAGTGCTGGAGTTAATAAGCTGTTGTGCAGTCCAGCATGGACCTCTAACTCACGCATATCCACCAGCCTCTGCCTCCCAAGTGCTGGGATTAAAGTCACGCACCACCAGGTTTAACCACTGTTCATTTCTTCAGAGATTATCGAGTTTAAGATTGTAAAGAATGCTGGGTGTGGTGGTGCACACCTTTAATCCTGTCACACGGGAGGCAGAGGCAGGTGGATCTCTGTGAGTTTGAGCCAGCATGGTTAACATAATAACTTCGAGGCCAGTTGGGGCTACAGGGAAACCATGTCTCAGAAAGACCAAAAAAAAAAAAAAAAAAAAGACTGAAGAGTTTACATAACTATATTTTCAAGCTGTGCGTAACGATGCATGTCTGGAATCCTAGCAGTTAGTGGACTGAGACAGGAAGAATGATTTTGAGGCTTGTTTGGGCTACATAGTGAGACCCTACCTCAAAAAAGTGTTATGAAAATATTTTTCTTTTTTGCAGGTATTGTAGGATAGGGGCCTTTATGTAAAAGTTGCCTCTGCAAACTTATTTTTTAATTTTGGTGGTTTTGTTTGCTTGTTTTTGGAAGGGTGGGATTCAGAGTCACTATGTAGACCAGGCTGGCCTGAAATTCCCTATGCAACCCAGGCTGGTTTTGAACTTGAGGCAGCTCTCTTGCTCTCCCTGAAATTGGTGGGGATGGCTAAACAGCACTGTGCACATAGTAAAATCCCCAGCACCCACATGGTAGCTAACAGCCGTCCTTAATTCCAGTTCCAGGGAGTCCAACATCCTCTTCTAGCCTCCGTGGGCATTGCGCACACATGGTACACTTACACACATGCAGGTAAAACACTCATACACACAAAATCTAGCCAGATGTGTTGGTGCACTTTAGTTGTAGTATTTGAGTGGCAGAGCAGGTTGATCCCTGTGAGGTCCCGGCCAGCTAGGGCCAAAGGAAGACCCTGTCTCAAAAAGCCAAAGGAAAAAAATTTAGAAGCTGTACTTTATAAAAAAAATGTTTAGGCCTAGGAGCATAACTAGTGGAAATGTGTGAGGCCCTGTGCTCAACCTGCAGAACAAAGCAGGAAAGTGTTAGGAGAGCCCTGGCATGTGGCTCTCACGAATGTGCTCACCTTGCTTGCAGTGGTGGTGTGGAACTGCTGGCAGGATGCAGCATGCACTGTGAACGCTGCTTTACAGGATCTCCTCGATAGAAGATCTCCGTCACTTGTGGACTATGAAAACGCCAATAAAGCACTGGACAAGGCAAGAGTGAAAAACAAAGGTGTTCTGCAGGCTGAAACGTCCCAACAGTTACGTTGTCAGAAGTTTGAAAAAATATCAGAATCTGCAAAACAAGGTACTGTTACTTTAGCCTTTCATCACAAGGCATGCTCAAGATAAGTATAGAATTCTTTTTGTTTTGTTTTTGTGTACAGAACTTATAGATTTTAAAAGAGGAGTTGCTGCACTCAGAAAAAAATTAGTGGAGCTTGCAGAATTAGAACTGAAGCGTGCAAAGGTCATGTCACTAAAGATCGAAATATCTAAATGACAATTTAAAACTAAGACACTTGTTTTTTTTTTTCAAGACAGGGTCTCCTTGTAGTCCCAGCTGGCCTTGAGCTTGCTATGTAGATCAGGCTAGTCTTGAGTTCCCTATGTAGACCAGGCTGGCTTTGAACTCACAGAGATCCACCTGCCTCTGCTTCAGAGTGCTGGGATTAAAGGCATGCGCCATCACGCCAGCTAAAGAGTGCTTGCTGCTCTTACAGAGGATCCAAGTTTGGTTCCTAGCACCTTGGTCAAGGGGCTCACAACCACTTCTAACTTCAGCTCCATGTGATCCACTGGCCTCTTCTGGCCTCTGTTGGCACCTGCATGTGACATGGCATACAGAACATACATGAACAAATGAAAAAATAGAATAAATCTGTTTTTATTTTTTAATTTTATTGTTTTTGTTTTGTTTTAAGGAAAAACTATTCTTTAATTTTTTAAAAAAATTTATTATTTTTATTTTATGTGTATGAGTATATTGCCAGCATGTAGATAAATGCACCCATGTCATGGAACTGCACTTTATTTACTTATTTCCGGTCTTTTTGAGACAGGGTCTTCCTGTAGCCCCAGCTAGCCTGGATCTTGCTGCGTAGACCAGGCTGACCTTGAACTCAGAGAGATCCACCAGACTCTGCCTCTGGAGTGTTGAGAAAGGCATCTGCTGCCACCACACTTGGCTCATTATGGCAGTCTTAAGAAATAAGTGTTAAGAAACGAGGCATGGTAATATATGCCTATAATCCTAACATTCCCCAGACTAAGGCAGGAGAATCACCACAAGTTCCAGGCCAGCTGGGCTACATAGTGAGACCCCGTCTCAGAAAGAAAAAGAGAACAAGAAAGAATCCCCTCCCCCATTCCTATCTTCTTTTCTTCTCCCTCATTCTCTACCAGATCATCAAAATCTTCACGCTGAGGGTTGGACCCTGATCATGCTAGGGAAGCATTCTACCATGGAGCCACATCCCCAGACCAAATCAAGACAGTCTTAAGTGCTTAAGAGTCTCTAGGGCTGAGTGGTGGTGAGTGCCTTTAATCCTAGCACTCCAGAGAGAGAGGCAAGTAGATCGCTGAGTTCTAGGCCAACCAACTGAGTCTACATAACAAGTTCCAGGCCAGCCAGGGCTATATAGTGAGACACTTATCTCAAAAAAGAAAAAAAGAAAGAAAAAAGGAAATTTTGTCCCTGCTCTAAGGGAAGGAAGTGGAGGTTTGGCTGTCAGCCAGGGTTTCTCTTCAGGTAATTAGGCCTTCTGCATGTGCAGGGGGCTGTTGTGGTCTTCGAGAGGAGAGGCCATAATGGCAAAAACAAAGTCAACAGTAGTGCAAATGGAGCAGAAGAGGCAGAGGCAGGGCTTGCTGTGGAAGCCCTGGGATGTGGGGCCTGAGGAAGCAAAGGAATGAACGGTTGGGAAGGGCACACCAGTGAGTAAGAAGGTGAGAGGTGCAGTCAAAGTGTTATTGGTTAGACAGTTTCTGTTGCAGAGTGGCCTTCTTACTGTTCCAGCTCTCTCCACCCTGGAAGTCCTAGTCTGGTCCTTTACCTCTTCTAAGGAGAGTTTACTAAATATATGTTCTTCAGAAAGAGTTTATCTTCACTTATTAAGAATTGTGTCTTGGACTATTGGGCAGCTGATTACTACTGGGTGAGGAAGAGCTGATCTTTAAAGGAATGACTCTAGAGAGACTGACTAGACCTCAGTGGATGAACGTGCAGAGACATCTGGCAACACTACCTTGACTCAATAAACCTTA